AAAATAATATAAATTTAAATTTGTTGTGTCGCGACGCGCGGTCATTGTCAAATTTTCAGGGTCATGAATTGATAAATTTTATCTTTCAAGTTTATAATTGACAGTCGACCAATATTTTGAGCCCTAGAGTGATTAAAGTTAAAATTCTAAACTGATAAATCTAGATCTTATATAGGTCCATAAGCAAAAGACTCTATTTTTCAAGTTACAAATTGAGAGTTGATCCATCTGTCGTATCGAGACTCTAATTGATAAACCTCATAACTTATCAATGTAAGGAGAAAACTAAATCTTAAAAGATAACAAAATGATGTAAGATTGTCGAGTGGTTAGGCTGGTCAGTCAATCATACTTAAAAAAATGCGTTTTTAGATTATAAAATATAAATTAAAGACATCACTTAATATTTTTTTGTCCATATAACAAGAACTTTTGCTGGATCACATGGGTAATAGACACATAGCATTATCAACCCATATGGTAACAAAAATTACTTATGTATGACCTTTAGTTTGTAATGTTGATAGATTATGAAGATACTAAAATGTAAATATTTATATATAAAAAGATAGATTTGCACAAAATATATATCTGGTAATGCGAGTCATGTGACACAAGATATTTAAAGCCCATGCATGAAATCATGAAATGCAATTAAATGGATGATTATAATAAAGTTTATACATCATTTTCATATCTAATGTAATTGGAAAAAAAAGGCTAACATCACCAGTGATTTTACATAATAACCGGATTAACTATTTATAGTGTTATATCACTATCGTAGGGCCAGTATTCAGTCATGTTATATAGAAAGATATAATCATTTAAAAAGAAAAAAGTGAGAGAAAAATGGGGGAAAAAAAATGAAAAGTAAAGATTTAGGGAAAATTTTCATGTTGAGTTAAGGAACAAAATTTCCTTTCCACCTGGCTAATTAAATGTTATCATTTTCTAAAATATTGATAGACAAATAGAGAGAGATTAAATTTGATATAAATATTTATTTAAATTAAGTTAAACAAGAAAGTAATTAATCTCAATTTCTTATTGAAAAACTATGTTTAGGTAGATGAGGAAAAAAAGGTGATGGTCCCATATCTAGGATTTTGCATGACAGTTAGAATTAATTAAAGCTAATGTTAACAGGTAGGACTGAAGTAAAGCAAATCTAATTGTTAGACAATTATATATTTTTAATGCACATAAGCTTTCATCAATCCATGTACAAGTAATGTAATAAAGTAAAAAATTTCTTAATATAATTAATATGCATTTTTGTTAAAAAAAATATGACTGGTCGATTAATCATTTACCTTAATCACCTATAAGTATTTGAACATACAAAATACTAAATCTTGCTTTTTTAATCACGAGCTTATATTATACCTTAGCTCCTCTCACTTTGTTAAGTGTTGCTATAACTTATAAGGAAAAAAATAAAATAAAAAATAGATATTGTTTTATAATAAACAGGACCACAAGGCCATGTTTGGCTACTTCAATGAGAAGGACTACTCGTCTTTGCATCCTTCCCCAATTATAATCGGCCAAAAACTAAATTCCAAACATGAGATTCATCTTGTGTCTGATATATAGAAGGAAAGGAGAGGCTTATTATTCAATTATTAGAAAGAAAAGGCATTTTTTTCATAAGCTAAAAATGATGCGTAGTCATTGTGGTTGGTGTTTGATAACTGAACTGATGACTCACTAATTTAGCCTTATTAAGTTACACAAATCTTGGCATTAGGCTGAACGTTATCATCTATACATTTTTTTAAAAATAAAAAACACATACTACTATTTATATTATATTTCAAAATATGATATTTGAATATAAAAATATATATACTATTATAATAACTAGTACGTAACCCGTGCGATGCACGGGATGTAAAATTTGGAAGAATAATATAACCTCACGTGCATTAGGATCGAAAATGAAATCATTAAAATACATAGGAACATTGTTGAATCATAAAAAGTTCGGTAAGAATCATATATTATTAAAAACCTCCTTGTACACAACATTATGAGTTTGATTGTTGGTAACTCCTTATTATCACAAACTAATATTTTCAAAAGAGACAAATCTTAAAAATCAAACTAATATTTTTGGTGAACAAACTAATATTTTAGGATTTCTAGGATTTGTCTCTTTTTGGTGAACAAACTAATATTTTAGGATTGGTTATATGAATAAGGCTACCTGTTTTTGATGTTCTTTTCATTCATTTTCATTCAAACAATCTGATGACTTGTATAATGAAATCCGAATCTTAAGCCGAAATATTTAAAAAAAGAGTTTTTAAAAATTGAAAAGTCAAGGCAATCAGTTCAAATTAATTAAAGGTCAAAGAATATCCGCTCCTTGAAATAAAGACGTGTGCTATCATTAACCAAATATCCAGTTATTGATAGAGTGGTTACCAAAAAAATAGAACGCGATAAGGACGCTTCATGGAAATATCAATGGGATAAGGTCATAACAGATAAAGCTCAGATGGAATGATTTATGATAATTATGTCGTAATTAATGAATTAATTAGATGTGTGAAAAAGACATAATTAATGAGAAGTGTGAAAAGGAAGTGTGAAAAGGACATAATTAATAAGAAGTGTGAAAAGGACAAAAACTTACCGGTTTTGGAAAATATTTAATGCAAATCCGACATTAACCATAATTTGACCTACTGTTTTAGATAAATATTAATTCTTATTATATAAGTACAGATATGGACACCTAACAATTAAGCAGTTTGAAACGGATAAAACTATATTACAAGTTTGTGTCATTAAAAAAGCTACAACTTCTTTTCTCCAACTTTCCAAGTCAATCAATTATAATTTATGCCAAATTTTCCTTTACACTAGAAAAATTTCTCTTATATATACCAACAACATTATGCGCGCTTTACTACTCTCTGGAAATTAAGCACACACACCCCACAAATGAATAATAAGCATCTGTCTAGCTGGAATAAAACAATTAATATATTAAATATTAGTGAATGGATAATCACCGTTTGCCTACCATGAAATGATTTTTAGTGGACCTTCTTCGATCATAATAATTTTCCAACCCGAACATGAACAATAAGCATAAATATAAATATATATTAAATATATGCATCTAAAACATTTCTTTGCTAGCTATACTATCCAATTTTCATACGTGTTAAATTAATTATTATTTTTATTATTACATTATTTAGTTATTAGTAATTATTTTACAAGTTAAGGACTTATCTAAGAGAAAAATGGATGGAGTATACTATAACATAAATTTCAAGAGGAAAAAATTTGGAGTGCAATACATGTATAATAAACTGGCATTAAATTAAAATATGTATAAAAGAAATAATAATTAAAAAAAGAAAAAAAAATGAAAAGTAAAAATTATGTAACGTTCTATATTATAAATTATAAAAAAATCATTTAAAAAATATATAAATAAAAGAACCACAAATCGAAATGCCATATTTTAAAAAATATATTAAAATAATGTAACGTTCTATAATATAAATTATATATTGTTACTAAAATAAAGTACACATTGTTGGTGAGAAAGTATGTTGGGTCAAATTTTTTTAAGCAAAAATTCAAGACGCAAGCGTTTGAAAAGTAAGTGAATATTTAATTTGAATGTATTTTCTAGAACATAAAAAGTTATGGATTACAACACCAATTGAAACAGTACTATATATATGTGCGCCAAAAATTGTCTGTACAAGAGAAGATTGTTGGGTCTTTAAACAAATAATGCCGATAAGTAAGTGTAAAGTGCCATTGCCCCTATGCTTAAAACAGAAATTGATGAATTTAATCATTCTGCAACAATATATGATCGTCTGACTTTTATTTTCTTCTAGTCTTGGAACAATGTAGATATCTTTTTTCTTGAAAGGAAAAAAATAATATGCAAAAAAACACAAATAATTGTTTTCTTTTCAAAACTTTAGGAAGATTAAATATGCATCCTCACAAATCCTTGTATGAGACAAACTAATCTTCAGACATGTCGTCGGACGAACAGTCATAAGTTAACTTTTTAGCAAAAATGCATACTTATACTATGAAATATCGTACTTTTGTTTATGTTGTCTTTTAGATTATGATATTTCAGTTTGAAAGTATGAGTGTCTAGCAAATTTGAAAAATTAACTTAAGAAAAGGGAAAATCAATTGAGAAGAGAATGAGGTTTGAACAAAATTGAGTCCCATAACTTGTAGGGAAGCTATAAAAAAAATTATTATTATTGTCANTTATGACATTATGCATCTGGACTGAGTTTGGAATATATGGCCATAAATCCATTTCACAACTACATATGGTTCTCATTGTCCTAACCAATTACCATATCCTAACACAACCTCAAACTCATTTGTCCATCTTACTAGAGAAAGGAAAAAAATAAAAAATAAAAAACAAATTAAAGCACATAAACAAATAAAAAATGAAATGAGTTGTTTCTATTAACCTGATCTATATCTGTCTTTACAAATGGATCCATCCATCAATCTCAAAAAGATTTTGGAGATCTCTTGTTCTCTTGTACATAAAATTGCTTCTCAACCAATTATACCTCAAAATCTTCTTACTCCAAACAGTTTTTATCACACACAATCCTACAGAACACTAGAATCCGACCTGCATTGCACGAAAACGAAAGTGAAGAATATCGTGACCTTTTTTCTTGCCCGCTAAGAACAATTATCGATCGACGCAAAACTTTTCATTGCATTGAAAGAAAAGATTTCGTTTTCTCTTGTTAATTGCCCCATTTCTTGATATTTTGATATTAAGCCACCAATTCTTAATCTTTTTCACTCAAATCTTTGTCCTCCAAAAAATGACCAAATAGTGCTTGACTGTTAATCAATCATAAATATCCCCTCCAATATTCGAAAAAAATCCTGCTTTTCGACAAAAACTCACGTTGTTCGCCACTTTCAAACTTCTTTAGGCCCTTCATAATAATAATGCATTCACAGCACAAAAAGAAAAGAAAAAAAAAAAACTAACTTTCATCAAAATAGAAAGTTTGAGCCATGATAAAAGAAGCCTACACCAGTAAAGCACTTCTCCTTACTGAGTTATATATAAACTCCCTATTCTTATAACTTAAACCAAACTGCACAAAAGAAATTCAAGAACTCTTTCGAAACCCGGTTAAATGTCTTTTTCGCGAACGAGCTCGGGAATTTACAGTGGCTTCTTCTCTAGTGACCTTCTTCCTTCTTTAGGGGCAAAAATCAATCGAGCCACAAAACTTCGAAGGCACATAATATCTCCATACGATCCACGTTATAGGTAATTGGAACCGTTCTGTTTTTTTTTTTTTTTTTTNGTTTTTTTTTTTTTTTTTTATTATTATTTTTTTATATCTTTCTTTCTTTCTGTTTCGAACTTTTTTCATTGATTTATTTAAGTTTTTCAGGGCTTGGGAGATTTTCCTACTTCTCTTGGTTATATACTCTGCTTGGATTTCTCCATTTCAGTTCGCGTTTATAACTACTTACGAACGAGATGCTCTGTTTATAGCCGACAACATTGTCAACAGCTTCTTTGCTATCGACATTTTTCTCACGTTTTTCGTGGCATATATTGATAGTCACACTTATCTGTTAAAGGATAACCCGAAAAAGATAGCAATAAGGTATTTATCGACTTGGTTCGTTTTCGATTTGTGCTCGACAATTCCATTTCAGTCCATTCGCGTGCTGTTTATAAACCACAATGGTGGGCTCGGTTTTGACGTGTTGAGCATGTTAAGGCTTTGGCGACTCAGACGAGTCAGCTCACTTTTCGCAAGGTGAGAAATATTTTTTTTTTTTTTTAGCATTTTTCAATATTTTCAAGACTTGTAAAAGATCTTTGCTTATGTTTGGTTCAATTTCCCTGAGATTTAATTCGGTTCTGTTCCGTTCGGTTTAGTTTCAGTTCAGTTAATTACCGAACTTATTTTAAACATTTTAGGCTCGAAAAGGACATACGGTTTAACTATTTCTGGACTCGCTGCACAAAATTAATATCCGTGAGTTTTTTTTTTTTACTTTTTTTTTTTCTTTTTGTTTTTTTCGAGTCTCGTCTCGCTTATTATTTCTTATAAAAATCCTCGTATTAATTAAATATGGAAAAAATCAGGTGACTCTATTTGCCGTGCATTGTGCCGGGTGTTTCAACTATATGGTAGCCGATAGGTACCCGAACCCGAGACGAACATGGATAGGGGCCGTTTATCCTAATTTCAAGCAAATGGGTCTTTGGGAAAAGTATGTGGCGGCATTGTATTGGTCGATCGTGACGTTGACCACCACAGGTTACGGTGACCTGCACGCGGAGAATCCGAGAGAGATGGTGTTTGATATTTTGTACATGCTTTTCAACCTAGGATTGACTTCTTACATTATAGGCAACATGACGAACCTCGCGGTTCACTGGAGTTGCCAAACGAGCAATTTCGTATGATCTCTCTCTCTTTCCTTCCTCATTCGGTATCTTCTTACTCACAAGTTTTTGAGCAATAATAAACCGGTTCGATTTAGGCTATGTTTGGTAACCAAATAAGCTAGTTTATAACCCGTTCGATTTAACGAGCTATTTTAAAAAACTCGAGTTTATCTCATATGCTTATTTGGGTAACTTTTCAAATAAGCTCCTTGGATTATCAATTAATTTTACCAGTTAATTTTATCAAACACTTTTATCATATAAGCTAGTTTTTCAGCTATAAACTATAAGCTCGAAAATCAATTATCAGCTATCAATTAGTTTTACTAAACATAGCCTTGGTGGTGCAGAGGGAAACAGTATCAGCTGCTTCGGAATTTTCTAAAAGAAACCACTTGCCGAGTGATATTCGAGATCAGATTCTATCACACATTTGCCTCAAATACAAAACACAAGGATTAAAGCAGCAAGAAACGATAAACAGCTTGCCCAAAGCCATTCGTTCGAGCATTTCGCATTATCTTTTTTACCGTGTCGTAAAAAATGTCGATCTCTTTAGAGGGACTTCTCGAGTTTTCCTTCTACAGATGGTACATTTTTCTTAAAACATAGTCACATTCTTTTGTTTATGTTTA